CTCTCTCTCTCTCTCTCTCTCTCTCTCTCTCTCTCTCTCTCTCTCTCTCTCTCTCTCTCTCTCTCTCTCTCTCTCACGAAACTCAAGCATTTCTTGTATCTCTCAACGACTCCGCCTTCAACTTTCTCCTTCTCTCGACGAAATCGATCTCTCGTCGATGCCTCCACGACGCCTCCGTGATTCTCAATTGACGATGCTCTCTCGTCGTCTCTCTCTTTCCTCGATTCCTCCGTTATGAATCAACGATGATCTCTCCTCGTCTCTCTCACTCTCCTCGACGCCTCCAAGACGCCTCTGTGAGAAATCGAAGCTGATTTGTCCTCGTCTCTTTCTCTACTCGATGACTCCACGATGAATCTCTCGGCGTCTCGCGGTGTCGATCTCCTCTAGGATGAAGAATCACTTCACACCTCTCTCAGGCCCGAAGCTCTCCTCTACGAAATCAAAGGGTAAAGCTATGTATGTAACCTTTTATGTGTGAATCGTTCTTTGATATTTTTATTAGTTTGTTGTGTTCATTCCTGCCTCAAGAGTTAGTATGAAATCTGTCAAATTGTTTAAGAGTTCAATAGTATGAAATTAAATAGAGATAGTATGAACTGAACCGAGTGTCATGAATGGATGTTGTCTTTATTGTTTAAGAATTCTATTATATGATTTAACTTCTGGTCTGAACTGAATCGAGTGTCTTGAATTTGTTTTGTTTTTGTTTGTTTGTCTCTTGAGCTTTGCTTCTCATTGTTTTTTGTTTGTTTATGTTTGTATGTGTCTTGAGCTCCATGGATGAAGATTCGTTAAAGAAGATGACTACAACTGCAAAACATGAAGGATCGTTTGCAAGCAGAGGAGTTTGCATTGATGTTTAAACATGTAAATTTTTAATCTTTTTTAGTCATTGGAAGCTTGGTCTGTTTGCGTTGATGTTTGCACTGGTTGAGTTAGGTAGTTAATGTGTTTGGTCTGTTTGCATTGATGTTGGTAATGAAAAAAGAATTTGGTTTAGGTTGCGGTAGTTAGTTAAAGTTATTGTCATGGAGTTTCTGTAGTTTAAGTTTCTGTTGTTTGTTGCTTAAGTTGTTGATTTTGTTTCTGTTATGTAGTTTGTGTTTTGCTTGTTCTCGTTGCTTGCTTAAGTCATATATGGAACCTCTTTTTAATATATGTTGTTGTTATTGTCTGTGTTTCAGGTAAGGAGTGAAAGAAAAAAAAGAAGGAAAGAGTGGAAGCTGTTCTTGTCTCATCTGTGGGTCACATGTTCTTCTCTGCTCAGTGGGTCACATGTTCTTGTAAGTTTGTAGAAGTGTATCACGAATCTTGTAACCTTTGTTATATCAAATCACTAGTCTTGTAATGTTTGTTGAAAGAGAGTTTCTTTTCGTAATGTTCTTCTTTAAAAAAAAAATTCAAATTTAAAAATTTCTAGTTAAGCACCTTCCATTGGAACACACATTCTGCTACTTTCTTAAATAGAGTTCTTAAGTACAATCAAAGTACAATTAACTAAATAAATAATCATTAAGCAAATAACAATATAAAATATAATTAAAAATATAATTAAATATTATTTCCTTTTAAAAATTTCCAAATAACAATATAAAATAAAAAGGAAACATTTATAAAATTTTCAAAACTATTTAAAAATAAAAATATAAGTATATATAATATGGTTTAATAAAAAAGAAAAGTTCACAAAATAGTAATATTTAATTTAAATATATTTTAAATAACATAAAATATACCTTTGAAGTAATAAAATACTTTATATCTATATCTTCTTAGATAAAAAACAATATCTGTATATAATGTGATTTCATAAAAAAAATTCACACAAAAAATATTGCTATTAGAAAAAGAAATATTTTTTATTTAAAAAAAATAATTTTAAACAATAAAATATATATATTTTCAAAATAATTATTTTTGTATATATCTATCTATTTTATTAGATGATTACATAAAATAATCAACTAACATAAACTGATATATGTTTAATTGACATTTTTTTATAGTTAGTATTATTGAAATTATTTTTTTAGTATATTTATTTGACTATAATATCTTACAATTACAGTAAAAATAGAAATTCTAATTTACTTATATAGTATAATTTCTCCAAAAAAAAAATCACTTTTAATGACTATTTTAAGATACTAAAAATAAAACTAAAAATAAATTTAATAATAAACATCTTTTGATCAAGTAACTATAATTATTTTAAAATATCATAACACTATATAATTGAACGAGGTAGATATATTATATTTTAATGGTAAAAATTATCTGTTTTAAGAATAAAGATTTTGATTTACTTAAGTATTTTGATTATGGTTATATTAAGTTTCACAAACATAAACACAGAAAATAACTACAATTATTTTAAAATACCATAACACTATATAATTTAACGAAGTATATATATTATAT